AAAATAACAAAATGTTCACCGTCTGAAGCAGACCCAAAGCCGAGAATGTGCCAAAATACCGTAAAGCTACTTGCGAGCAGTATGCAGATAGCTTCATTGGCCGTTGGAATACCATAATTCATGGCAGAAGTGGCCATATTAAAAGAAAATAGATTAACTTAAAAATTTAAAGTTCTTTTCGCAAATTTTCATTTATCTTTCAATAATTTTAACAAAAATATAACGTTTTACTTTGTTGCAGTACATATAGTGTGTATAGTGCAGGACGATACTAGAACACTTATTAGTCAGACCATTATCTAATCTCAGAGTAATCACTAATCGCATGGGGCGGTACGCAGATCTTAGATCAATCATTGAATAATCACGAAGATTATCAGGAATACTCAAAATAGTCAGCGCGATGACTATCATAGAGCAAAAGTGCCCAGATGCACAAACTCGGAAAAGGCTTAATATAGCATAAACATTATGTCCAAACCCCCCAAAATAGATGGACTGTGCGGAGAGATGGAATAAAAATGACAAAAGAAAAAGAAGGGAGGAGGTTGCCTCTTTATATTTAATTTTTAGGTAAATGGTACATATGGAACTATGTTGTTAAATTAAAAACAAAACTATTTGTGGGTTTTTAGCAATATTCCTAACAATAAACAATAACAGAGATCAACTTAATGCAATATATTAAAGCTTAAACGAAAACTACTTCCATGAAGTGGCAAGCCGAAGCACTACGTCATCCTAGCAAATGCATAATCCTATGCTTAAACAATAAATCGCAAATCGTATCAATCTTTATCGCAGACATCATGGCGAGGTTAAGAGGGTTGATTGAAAGGGCAAACCTACTTCCTGCTTTTCTTTTTTCGTCTCTATATTTTTTTTTTTTTATTTTCTAATATTTTTGTAGTGGTTTAGCATAGTTTTTGAAATTTATTGTTTTTAGCCTCTCCAAATAGAAATGAAATGGACCTTGTGTGTCGTATGTTAAGTTGGTAAGCGCGCTACTATACACAATTCCTTGTTCTCATTTTATTATATTTATTTAAAATTTTCTGCTATTCTTCTACTTTTTTGCAATGAACTTTTGTCCTCGTTTCCATTGTCGATGGAAAATGTGCATAAACATTGTTTTTGGTGTTCTTTCTCTACAATTAATTTTGCACTAAACTCATTTATACAAATTTTGGCAAACCTTATAGTACTGGACTGGTAGGAAAGCTTCGCTAGAAAAGCAAATAATGGAGCAGAGTAACGAGTAACCAGAGAAACTGCAGAAGGCAAACATTTTGACCTGGGCTCGATGAACCACTTAACTGTGGTTGGTTTGATTATCTCAATTCAGTTGACAACTTTTTAGGACGTTTAAATGGATGCTCAATTTTGGTCACAAGTTAAATGGGGTGTGATAGGTTCATTGTGCCAACATTTGTGGTAAATCAGTGGAAAAATTGGAAAAATTCAAAAATGCAAAATTATATTTAATCGAAAAAAAATTGAAACAAAATTATTAAATTGTTAGGAAGAGTTTGTAGCGCATCATATGAACGTGAACTACCGATTTTTCAAATTAAATTTATTTATTTTATTTAATAGCCACACAAAAGTGTTTACAATCTGTTACTAAGCCAAGTGGGTTGAAGGAAAAAAGTGGATTTTATTGGACAACGACTTCGGCACATACCAATCACAGCGGCCACAATAAAATTTTCCCTATAAAATAATATCTTAATATGTATATTACGTAAGTAAATTGTAGCAATTTGAGATACATTTAGAAAAATTACTTTTTAAAATTTTCTACAATTTTCAATAGAAAATTATGATTTTTCACAATTTTCCTAACTTTTTTCATTATTTAATTTTTTTTTTTTTTTTATTTATTTTTTTTTTTTTTACTGCATTGCGGGGGGTTAATTTTATATTTTTCTGAGATATTTGTTCTTTCAATTTTCTTAACTGAAAAATAATGCAACCACCAACTGTGGCATTCAATGGCCAACATTTTCAATAACGTTTTATGTTGATTGTTATGTGTTTATTATTTATTGTTGCACCCTGTATTTGCCGCCGCCTGAAGCCATTAGCAGTAACAACAACTATAGAAACTTAGTCTGAAATCTGTGCTATTGAAAGAAAAAGATTCGCAAAAATGTACTTTTTACCTGTTATTAGGCGTGGGAATTTCATTCTGTAGCTGGTTTCCTTCCCCATGAATGGATGAATAGAAAAATTGTGAAAAACGGTTTTCGCACCAGCCTACACAGGAAGGAAGTTCATGAAATTGTTACAGTGTAGATTTTAGCATTTTTGTTGTTTTCATTTACACTGAATCAAGTATGAAACAAAAAAAAAAAAAAAAAAAAAAAAAAAAAAAAAAAAAAAAAAAAAAAAAAAAACTACAAGAGATCAACCGACATTACTTCTGTTCATAGCTATTAGGATGCCTACCTTCAATTATGAACATTTTCTGGATTATATATAAATGATTTTCGAATAAAAGCGAATTGGATTTGAAGAATTCAGTTTCACTTGATTTTGATTGGGAATCAGATTTCTTACAAAATATTTAATTAATAATAATTTTATATTCTTAACGAAAGAAAAATATTTCGTATTAATCATATATTTTATATTTTTATATGAATTTAATATTCATATAAGCCTTGTACATAATTGTGAGTAAATGATATATAAATGTCCAACACCCCATTAAACTACGAGGAGAACTGACGACTCTCACTGTAATCCAGAGATTATAGCTTAATTGTGCGCTTATCCGACAGTCATTTTCGAGGCCTTTTTACGTCTTTCACTGTCAGCTACTTTAACATGACGGGTGCTTAACTCCGTACACAACCCAAACTTCAAATCCTGGGAATAGGAGTGTGCACAACTCAAACCCAAAAGTCCAGGAAATAAGACTGTGCACAATCCAAACTTAAAGTTGTAGGAATAAGACTCGCTGTATGCACTACTAGTTTATTAACCAGCCGATGCCAGTTAACTATCGAGTGTTACCACCTAGAAGCTATAAGACAACTTAGATTAAACTCAAAAACGAAAAGTTATTGACATTTAGGTAAGTTAGCCAAGACAGCAAATTACTGTAATTTAACAGTTAGTTGAGCATAAGTTTGTCAAGATGGATAATTTCAATGAAGATGTTGGACATCTTATAAACTGTAGTAGAAACTTTATTAAATAAAATTCAATAACAACTCATTTTTGTTAGAGAGAGGTGTCTGGTCTGGTATAGTGTCTGGTCCCCGGTATTCGTTAGAAGATTTTACGCTGTACATACATCTTTTATTATTAATATAAGATGATACGGTGTAGTAATATAAAATTGAAGCAAATATTTTTTTTAAGCTACCAGTAGATTCAGTTTTATTTAGAAATTTAGAAATGATTTCCACAAAGGAATTATTATTTATTCACAGTTAAACTGAGCGCTTATTAGAAAGATTGTTTTTTTCTTACTACAATGGAAACTAGTTCTATTATAAGCGCTTAGAAGATATATGTCCTGTCAATTAGGTCTAGAAAACAATTTTATTGTCAATGCAATACTAAACAAGATTTTTTAAATAATCGAATGGAATCGATTTCTTAAATGAGTTTCTTACTGCGTTTTTAGACAGTTAAAAAAAAATAAAGTAACTTCTCTATTTTTCTCTCCCAAAAGGAAAGAACTTCTTAGTACTTTCGCTATATAACGACAAAAGTATTTTTTGTTATTCTTATTATGAGTAATTCCTTAAAATCCTAAGTGTTTGGAGAGCAGTATGGACTGATTCAAAAGAGGTATTTCAATTTATTAAAAATTTTATGTTCTTATTAATAGTATACATCCCATATGCGTATATTTCCTAAAGTTCTGTTGAAATCTTTTAACTTTAGAAAGTGAACGGCTTAAAAACTCGATTTAATTATTCCAAACAAAATACGTAATCCTTTACACTAATTCGCGAAAGTAGCTTCTAGAATTTTTTTTAGCACAGAAAAAAATTACGGTTTTACACAACCTGCTGGAAGACAGAACTTATTTAAACTACACATTTTTAGTAACATGTATTATATATATTCTAATTAGTTATTTTAGAGTTCCATACTTTTAGTACAGATCATTGTGTAAGAATTCATTGGATTTATTTTCAGAAAATGGATCTCATTCTATTCGAAAGTTGAGATCCTTTTGCTTATAATTGCTCTTTAAAAAGGGCGCTAAGGTGAAGATCTTAGGTAAGTTAGACACTCACACAACATTCTAACTAAATTTAAATATTTGTCGGCCTATTGGAAGACAAGATTCACTTAGTTCCTATGAAATACACCCATTGTAATATAACAAGAACTAGTATGAGATTCTAACTAAATTTAAGTATTCGTCAGCCTATTGGAAGACAAGACTCACTTAGGTTCTATGAAACACACCCATTGTAATATCAAGAACTAGTATGAGATTCTAACCAAATTTAAATATATGTCAGCCTATTCGAAGACAAGACTCACTTAGGTTCTATGAAACAAACTCATTGTAATATCATAGGAACTAATATGATATTTTAACGAAATTAAAATATTCGCAACCTATTGGAAGTCAAGATTCACTTAGATCCTATGAAACACACCCATTATAATATCTCAAGAACTAGTATGAAATTCTAACTAAATTTAAGTATTCGTCAGCCTTTTCAAAGACAAGACTCACTTAAGTTCTATGAAACACACCCATTATAATATCTCAAGAACTAGTATGAGATTCTAACCAAATTTAAATATTTGACAGCCTATTGGAAGACAAGACTTATTTTGGTCCTATGAAACACACCCATTGTAATATCATAGGAACTAAACTAACTAAATTTAAATATCAACTAAATTTTTTTTTATTATAAGAACAAAGTAAGTACTTCTTTTTATTTATATTATAGTGAAAATCTTTTTAAATAATTTAATTTTTTTAATTTTTAAAAAAGTTTTTAACACCAACTCACCTATTAATCCTTTAGGACTTAGAATATATCTGCTGAATGTCCTCACGAAATTGTTGGATTCGTTTCAATAATTAAATTTCTGTTAATTTTAATTTTACTTAATTTTTTTTCTTTTCTCTTCTTTTAATTGTTTTAAACAAATTAATTATTAAATTATTATTAAGTCACACACAAGTTAATAATGTGCACTGCAACACCTGCAAAAAGGATAACACATTTGCCATTTAACACTCGCCGAATCGTCGAATCATCGAATCGCCGAACCGGTTGAATCGAATTGAACTGAACTGAACTGAATTGAAAACAGTCAACTGCCAAATGATGGATGTGGATGTAGATGTAGATGTGAATGTGGATGCAACTCCTTACTTGACCGGAGCGAGAAAGTGTAAGCGAGAGAAGAGCTCAATGTGTGACAGTTACGAATAATACAATAACAAAAACACTGCTGAGAGCAATAAAGAAGCAGCAATTAAATTATTTCTTTTCTTATTCAAAAAACCAAAAAACAAAAGCGAATTTTATTTTGTCTCGGGAACTACAAATAAGATTTAAGATTTAAATATTATTTAATTAATTTAAAGATGTTTGATGTTTGATGTAGGAAATTTAATAAATTTTTTATATATTTTTATGTGCTTTGCTCATTTTTCAACACAACATTTACCAACACCAACAATGAAAATAACAACAACAATGGCGCTGCGCCCAAAAAGAAAAACGTTTTCAGGTTTTTTTAATTTTTTTTTTTGTTGTTGCTTTGAGTTAAATATTTTTTTCTTTTCTTTTTCTTGTCTTTTACACACACTGTCTGCAGATGAATGAATGGAAAAATAAAACGGCAAGAAAATGAAGCAATAAAATATGAAAAAACCGACCACAAAGTAAAAAACGCACAAACGTAACAAATAAGGCAAAATATATTTTGAAAATTTCTAATAACGAACTTCTCCAAAATTTTTTATCGTTTCTGCCGCAATAATTTTGCACAAATCTTTTTCTTTATTTTTTTTTAAACAATTTATTTAATTTTACACTTTATTGTACTTATGCCGTACACTTACTAAATGGCAAGGAAATTCTTAGATTTTTATATTTCCCTTAGTTGTGTTTGCACAACTAAGCACGGAGGAAAGCACTTCTCTGATTCCGATGAATCCCTTTTGATATTGTTATAATCTTCAATTAAACGTTAACTAAAAGCTTCAATATTAGTTATTATTAACAGCTGATAAATTGTTTATCGTAAAAAGTTTAACTTTTTATTTAATTATTTAGAAACTATTTTTGTTAAGCACAAAATGTGCAATACGGAAACCGCCTTACAAATGATCTCAAACACACTACAAACACAACTGAGGGAATAATGAGTTTTGGTTTTGGTTTTGGTAAAGAGACGTCGTTGAGAGCAGAATGTAAATAAAAAGAAATGCTCAAAAAAAAACGGCGAATTATTTTCCCACAAAGTGTGGAGACTTAAAGTGTTGTATTTCGAAAAATGAACATTTTTTGTTAGTATTTATAATATATAGGACGTGTGCGAGTTAGGCTAAGTTGATGCTAAACCAAATGGAAGATTTTTTGGGATTTTTTGCACTGCACACATTTAGCCATTTATCAACACGTATCGACACATCACTACATTATCGGCGCAACTTAAAATTTCCCTCATTTAGAACGCAACTAATATGCTGTTCAGACACATCTTAGTTTCGCAAAAATCTTAGTTTCATCTTCGTTTCAGCGAAACTAAGTTGTTTTTTCCATACAAAACTTAGTTTCAATGTCAAAACGAAACTAAGGAAAATAGCCTTAATTTCGCTGAAACGAAGCATGAAACTAAGGGAATTTTCAAATGCAACTATGTTAAAAACAAATTTTAAGCAAAAGATAAAATTGAGATAACGAAAAAGTGACATGTATTTTTAAAAACAGCTGACTTTAATAAAACCGGGAAAATATTTTGAATAAAATTTAAACAGTTAAGCATTGGCGATGGAGAAGAAAAGTTATAAAAAAAGGTACGGTTGGACCCAAGCAGCAGAAAATGCACTTTTGGAGGTTTGGGAATGCAATATGGAAGGCTTTCGTGGTGCACGCAAGAACGGGCATGTGCATAAAGAAATCAGCGATGCATTAAATCAACTCGGGTTTATGCTCAATCCCAAAGAAGTGCAAACGAAAATAAATAACATGACCTCAAAATTCAGGTATTTGGAATTAACGTAATGAAGATAATAATAATCAGGATGTTGGTTTTTATCAATATTTTTCAGCTCTTTTAACCATTGTGCATTAATGTGGTCGTTGTTTTCATTTAAAAAATTGTGCAGCACACAACAAGCACTCACAATAATATTTGCATTATTAATTCTATTGTCCAAACCCTTTCCTATTCGTCGAATTCGTGCTTTTAAGTGTCCAAATGCATTTTCAACAACCCAACATTTCGAAAGTTTCTAGTTATAATTTTTTTTACAAGCGGCATATCAACATTAAATTCCATATGTAAACAAAAAACATATGATTTCCTTAATTTGGGCAGTATGAACACTTTCGAAACTAACTTAGTTTCATTTTTCCGAAACTAAGGAAATTTGGCTGTCTGAACATAGCATTAGCCTAACTCGCACACGACCATAATACATATTAAAGTAAATTAAGGTAAAGTAAATTGAACTTCCCTAGGGATTTTTGCACTGCACTTATGTAAATATTTATTTATTATTTTTGGTTAAAAGTTTTCAAAATTATTTATTTATTTATTATTAATAAATATTTATTATTTATTTATATAATTTACCCCATTTTTATTTAATTTAACCTACTAGAAATTTTATTAAATACCAACATTAGTTGTCATACCGATTTAATTTACTACTACCTGCCATAATACACATATTATTATAATGAAATATAATAATAAAAAAGAAGCAATAACAATATGTTATTTTAATGAAATAATTTTATTAATATATATTTGAGCGGAATAATAGGTCAATGTTAAATAACACAAAAATTCTTAAATTCGCTTCAAACAATATAGATAATTGTCGCCGATATTTCAATTATAGTTTATAAACAAAAATTCAAAAATATGTACAAATAAAAAAATTGTCAAAGTTAACGCAAGTCCTTAATACTTTATCAGCTGTTACTAATATTGTAGAAATAAATCAGCTGATATGTTCTACCTAATGCAAAACAAAGCATTATATCTGCTGATGTGAATAAAAAGCGATTGCATTAACTTATTAAATTATTACTATCATTTGAATGATGGCACTGAAAACTAAAACTTATTTTTATTCTTTACGTGATGTAGAAAAACATTTATTATTATTTATTATAACGTTTATTATGAAATTTATATTAAACTTCTTTATATAATGTTCAGATACATCTTAATTTCGCCAAAAATCTTAATTTAACCTTCGTTTAAGCGAAATTAAATTGTTTTTTTTCCACACAAAAGTTAGTTTTAAGGTTAAAACGCAGGCTGAAGTTAAGGGACATTTCAAATGCAATTATGCGTAAAATATATTTTTAGCAAAAGATAAAGTTGAGATAACGATAAAGGGACATTTTTAATTAAATAAATGTCAATGACAGTTAACTTTAATGAAACCGGAAAATTATTTTGAAAATAGTGTAAATTTTTAAATTTGAATATAGAAAAACAATTGTAACTGTAACTGTAAATAGAGTGAAAAATAATAAGTCACAAACCTGAAATTCACTACTTGAATACTTTTTTTTGTATTCTTTTTTATTTTATTTTTTGACTTATTGAAATTTAAATAATGAAAAACTTCGTATTTTAAGACAAAGTATAGCAATTGAACTACTTTTTTGAATAAAAAAAGTTTTTTGGAATTAAAATTAATATTTAATTAACATATATATTAATATTTAATATATAAAAATTGATTTATAATTTATAACAATTCACAAATAATATTAATGTGTTATTAATATGTTAAATATGTAGGCAGTATTTGAGGATTTTGAGTTTTGTGTTGATTTAATTGGTTATCTCAATTAAAAAGTATAAGAAAAGTATAAGAATTAATATAAAATTATTATTAAATACATGAAGCACTGTAACTGCATTGTAATTTGCATTTTTCATACAAAATCTATTTTAAAATATGTAAGAGTGGTTGTATAGGTCTAAGTGTAAATATAGTTTAACAGCGCGTTTACACTACCGCAATTAATTATACAAAATTGCAACGGCGTGTGCCATTTTTTTATACAAACTCAATAATTGTCAATACTAATATATAGTGTTAAACGTTCAAATAATTAAATTCTTATATTTTAAAAAAGTGTTCTTCTTCTTATCTTGCTATATTCATTTATAATTGTTGTTTTGATTTAGAATTAAATAAATGAATCAAGTTTTTTGTAAAATTGTAAAATCAATTTAAATTATCTCTAAAAAGTTAACTGGAGCTACTGGTCTTCAGAATATACCGACAATTAATTTAAAATGGGTTTTAGTTGTATATGTCATTTAAGTACCAGATTAATGGATTGAATTACTCTAAATGTAAAACTTAAGGCTTGAACCACGGTAAGGCAATAGAAATCAGTAAAATAATACTAATTCTTGTAGTAAACTCGATTACAAAACAATCACTACTCCTTCAGACTTGATTCAAGAAATCAAAGAGAAAGTCTTTTAAATAATATCGGATCTTACGAAGCATTGAACTACAAGATGAGGGTAACTGCTATAGATTATATTTACTCGCGTCAGAGAAGGCTGTGTCTCTAATCTTGAAAATCAGGAAGTATTAAGAAAGATAACCTATTTATTTTTGTCATTAATTAAAAATAAAAAGCATTTTTAAGCTTTATGCTATTATTAAGTTTTTTATACCATAAGTTAAAAGACTTATTTACTTAATAGGAATGTTATTTGGCCATAACAATCCGTTACCGTTAGACCTAACGCAGCATATCTTACCAGGCGCTTCTGCTATGTGTGTGCCTTCTCTCGTACATTACGCCTGGTTAGTGTTCCCTCAACTTGATCACTGTTTAAAAAAGTTTGAAGATTATTTTTTCAAAAACAAGTCCTTATAATTTTTAGCCCTCTATCAGTCCTGCTTTACTTACTTTTCCTCTATATTTCGCCCCACAATCGTCTTTATAGTAACTAATTTACTTATCCATTGAGTAAGTCGTAACTACAGATTTTCACTTTTTATGCTACAATTTTAATTTATAACAATTTATTTTAAAAAACTCTAATTTTTTCGATATCAACACTTTTCTTTATTGTTAGAATAAAGTCTTAGCATTAGACGATTCAATTTTTTACTGTTTTAATGGATAGAATCCATTTAGGGTTCACTAGAGTTTTCAACGTTGTCTATATTCTGAAAAACAAAAAATCCATTAGGTTTGACTTTTAAATTGCAAGGAATAAATTAATTTCAAAAAATATTATAATTTAGTTTTTTAGAAGAAGATATCATTGAAGAAGATATTTGTATTTTTCAGTCCGTTCTCTCAATGTATAATAACTTGTGACCGGACAGACAGACGGATCTGGCGAACATATGTAGAGCACAGTACATATGTAAGATGAATGAATTGGAGCATGGTTTGTGCATGGATTTACTGCAGAATGTAAAAAGGTAAAGTATGCTTAAGGTGGATCCTTATATAGATTATAGATACTTTATTTTAGAAATATATGCTTATGATAAAAATTGGTTATATGAGTTTGGAATCGTTTGGCTTAAAGTGGAATAATTTGGTAACGAATATACTTCAGTTGGCAGCCTTTATTATAAGCAATAATTTAGTTTTTTAAGAGTTTAATTATTAAAAATATTTAGTCATTAAAACAATAAATATAAGATATATTAATTATTATTATGGCACAGTGCATACATATAAATGAATACAATTTTCACTTTAATATATCATGGAATATTATATATGTTTTTCAAACTTCTGAAGATCAAGATTTAAGATTATGGATAAATTTATTTATAAACATTTATAAAAAACGGTTTTTTATAATTTCTTTATGGATTCATAATTAATTTTATGCAAATAATTAAATTTGCAGTGCATATTTATTGAGTTCACATTGAATTTACATTAATTAAGTTTTGTCTAAAATGTTTTTAAATTAATTGTTATTGATATAAACAATTTTCTATTTTGTATATTATATTATTCAACATATAAAAGAATATAATATTTTAGGGCAAAGAATAGAAAAATGGCTATAGTAGTCTTAGAACTATTTTTTTTAGTTGTTAATAATAATCAAACTAATTTAATATCTTTATCTAGAATATACTAAAACAAATATAGTTTAAACTATAGCTTATATGACCCTAGGTTGACGCCCTATGCTCCACAAGTCGATAAAGGAATTAAGAAGAATAGGTTAGGTTAAGCTAGAGTGTCAGACTATGCAGAAATAATAGTTTATTATGATATAAAGGTAGTTCATAAATAGCTAACTTTTATAACATATTTACATCATTTTATATATCCCAGTATTTTATTCTATAACTAAGCGTTTTCTTATTTATAATATAAATTATGTGTTTAATAATAATAATGAAATATTAATAAGTTAATAATTAATTTGTAGTTATAGTTTCACGTTATATTTTTAAAAAAATGAAAAAAATTATTTAGCAAGTTAATTAAACTGTGCATTAATTACTTAAAATTATTTATAATTAATTTGAATTTTAATTCAATTTGCGGCAATTATGTTAATTTTAGCTTTTATGTATTTTACAAAATAAACATATTATTTAATATATTATTTTTATTTATAAAACGGGTTGATTGGTTAATTGTTATTCAATTATTTTTAAAAAAACTTATTAATTGAACAATTAATTAATGGGCCTGTTACAAAAGAAAATATGATAAATAAAAAATTTTGAGCATCAAAAAAAAAACAATAAATTACACATTAAGATAAATGATATGCTGTGAATTATGATAAATGGTAACTATAAATTATTAAATTAAATTCAAATAATTAAACATTAATAAATTAAATTTTTAGTTTACGTCAATTATTTTACGTTTGGCTATCATGTATTTTAAAAGTTAAATAAATTATTTATCAACTAAAATAAATTGTGTAGTTAAATTTGTTTTAAATTATTTACTAATAATAATTATATAATAATTATTTAATTATTTTATATGCATATTAAAGCAAATCATATTAAATAATGTCAGCACTCATATTAGCATAATCATACTGCTTAATTTTAAACTGTTCATATTATATATTTTATATATTAATAATAAAATAAATATCAAATATTAAATAATAGTAATTATTAAATATAAAATAATATTAATAAATAAATGTTTAAAAACATAATTAAAAACTAAAATTTAATGTTAATAATGACATATACAAAATAACAGCGAAACAAATTTTCGTTAAAAAAACTTCTTCGTTGAATGTCAAATGTTGTGTAGAGATTTTGGAGATTTTTTTTCTGACGGCAATCAGCTGAGTAAATTTGTGACAAACAAAACAGTGTTTTGATTCGGTCAAATTTTGACGTTTCATTTGCGGGCACTCCACGTTGATTCTTAATTAATAAACATAACATTTAATGTTACATTTATTAATTAAATATTTTAATTAATTTATTATGGGGGTACGCGGTTTAACAAGCTATATAGCACGACGTGCCGAATTATACCTGACACCATATGAATTGCATGACTGCAGTTTGGTCATCGATGGCGATAACCTGGCATGCAATCTTTATAAGGATGTCACGGGCACCTATTCGGCATTTGGTGGTGATTACGATGATTTCTATCGTGGCGTAGTGCAATTTTTTCACGTACTCGCTGAATGCAATGTACAAGCTTACGTTTTAATGGACGGTGGCTACGAACACCGTAAGTTGCGTACCGTTGCCAAGCGTTTACGCGGTAAAATCTCTGTAATAAGGCGTATCAATCCATGTGGTTCAATACCAGTGTTTCCAGTTATGATGAAAGAGGTTTTTGTAGACGCTGTACGTGATTGTGGTATACCTGTTATGCGTTGCACTTTTGAGGCAGACGATGAGTTGGCAGCCTTGGGTCGTAGATTACATTGTCCTGTACTGAGCTATGATTCTGACTTTTATATACATAACGTACAGTATATACCACTTATAACTTTAACAATGAAGGCTCATACCAAATTGCTTAAGGAAAAAAATGGTGAAACAGATATTGCAGACTCACAGCAACCTACCCGGAATTTACGTAAAAATGAAGCTAGGCATATCGAAAAATTGACAACAGCACATCGCGTTATGAGTGGAATATGTACTAATAATGTAGATAAACGTGCCGGTAAGAAGAATCAATCATACAAATATCTGGATTGTTGTATATATCGTATTGAGAATTTAATAACTTGTCGTTCGTTGAGTGAGGAGAAGTTACCACTATTTGCAGCGCTTTTGGGTAATGATTACATATCACGTTCTGCTTTCCATAACTTCTTTGTCGGTGGTTTGGTTAAATTGGGACGTAGTCGTAAAACGAATCATCAACAACGACGAATACGCGTTATACTCGAATGGTTGAAGCATGAAACAGTGGAATCGGCATTGGAAAAGATTTTGACGCGCTTGAAGAAAGTGAGTTCTCATATATATTATACTCATATCATTTATCTTTTCTTTTTGTTTTTGCAGCAACAACGTGCCTCTCTGCTGGCACAAGTGCAGGATGCTATAAGTGGATATTCAAATGAAAAGTGCGAATCGTATGATTTCTTTTTGGCTAATTATGAAAACGTGCTCAAGAATTCCGACACTGTTTCCAATAAGCAGAAAAAGACTTCAAAGCGGAAATTATGTGACGAAAAAGAATTGGTAGAAATTGAGACTGCTAATGTTGAATCTATACAAAAAGATCTTAGTGCTGAAGAGAAATGTGCAATAAACCTTACAAACCCTGTGTTAATTCTTGGTGAAGAGAACAGTCCACCATTCAAACCGAAACCGCTTAGCGATACTAGTCTTCAAAATGGCAATGTTAATATTATTGATGATGACAGCGAGAAACATCTTTGCAATAATATTAGCTCACAAAAATCTGAATTAGTTGCTGATGACGCTGAAGATAATTTTAAAATTTGTGATAGTGCAGGCACAGATGAAAAGGAGGCGCAATTCGTTGATGACAATAATGATGATAATGTTGAAGATGATTTTGAAAAATGTGATAGTGTTGACACAGATGAAAAGGAGGCACAATTAGTTGATGACAATAATGATAACAATGGTAATGATAATGCTAATGATGAGGATGACGATGACGATGACGGTGATGATGATGATGAAAATTATGATGAAGATAAAGAATGCGAAGAGGAAGAGGAAGAGAATGACGGCGAAGATATTGACGGCGTAGAAGAGTGTGACGGCGAAGAGTCCGAACATGTCGAAAAAGTACAGTTTCCAGTTTGGTTTTTAAAAAAGCTTTACCCAGCGAATTTACCACGATTTGCAGTGGATCTAGTCTACCTAAAAAAGTATATAAACAGTCCTCAAATAGAGCACTTTCCATACAATGACTGTAATGAAATCTCCATCGACATACTTAAGTACATATATTTGCTATTTAATTCTGCTCTTAGTGATGAACCTAAACTACCATTGCATAAAGAACCGGATGAATCACCACTTCAATTCACATACATGGGTCGCGCTCCCAGGGTGTCGAACATACGATATCAGCATATTGAAATCGAGGGTTCGTTAACACATGCCTATGAACCAGATAATCCCAATCCTTTGCTGTTTCAAGATTTCTTCGAAACACATTTGAAAAAGTTCGACACAAATATGTTATTTGAGCATGTTAAACTATTGCCCAAGGACCTGCAGTTATATTTTATTGCCATAGTTTTTTGGCTACAAAGGTCGCAACATTGTGATTTATTGCATCTGCATGCGTTAATTATTTGCGTGGTCATATTGCGCACGGTCGATGCCAATATACCAGCCGAACGAGATCTAAAAGAATTCCAAAAGCGTTTTGGCAAAATTATCAAAAGGGAACGGCAGGTACGTGAGAAGGAGGCACTGGCGGAAATCAAACGTACCATCAAAGATGACATCAAGTTGTTGCCTGTGCCGGAACGTATGCAATTTGTGCCGAAATCCGATTGCTATCTTGTGCAGGATGCGCTTCTAAAGCATTTCCATATGCAAGAAATATTCAAAAAGAAATACGATCTCTACTCTTCGATTGTGTTGCATGCTTTCGCTGAATTTCAATCTGTCGTCTTTCAGTTGAACACACTCAGTGCCTTGCTCGACTTTCCCTTCGCCAGTACGCGCATGGGCGATTTATATTCCGGTGTGTTTCTATATAATTTGTACGATTTACTACGTGGACGAGTGGATGTGTTTTACTATGTACAGCAGAACATCTTTCAAGACTCAGTCATGATGTACGATTTGTATAAATTTCTGATTGATTGGTGCGTCCCATTCGTGCCATTTTGGAAGGAAGATAAGATGACAGAAACAACACAGCAGGCTAATAAGAAATTGCTAAAGAAACAGAGGCAGGCTTTGCGAAAGAAAGCAGCTGAAGGTGGGGAGGGTTCGATAACTTCTGCGGATCCTAACATTGCTTCGTTAAGTAATAATGATTCGACGGAGGATGAGTTCAATGATTTGAACAATAAATTCTGTGCACTTCTGAAGGTCGGATAACTTTAAGTAAGCCTTAATGTAAAATATGTTTTATATAAGAATAAATTTATTTTCTTTTATACAAATTATTGAATATAATATATTCATTATTCTGAAATCGATTTCAATTTTAAATGTAAAATATTTTAATCCTATGTTTTATGAGCTCAATAGAATAAAATAACAAAAAAAAACATTTTGTTCTTATTGTTATAATCCGCGGTAGATCTTCACAGATCCATGGAGATAAGATGAAAGGAATGATAACCACATATAAATGCGTTAGAATGTGTATAGGTAATAGTATGAGAGAGAATATCTTCATCTTATTTGGCACTACAGTCCAGTATGAACCTTGGTCTCTCTCACGATTTGCCTCCGTCTGTCCCTATCTTCTGCTACTCTCTTCCAGTTCAGTACTCCAATCGTTCTTGCATCACCATGCACGTTCTCATCCCATCTTGTTTTTGGCCTACCTTTGTGCCTGGTTGTCATCGGCTTTGTGTTTTCTCTCCGACCCCATTCTTATTACATGAGCAGCCCATTGTAACCTTTGCGACTTAATGTATCTCACTATATTTACGTTTCCAAGCAGTTCTTCAATTTCATTATTTGTTCGTTTTATGAGAGGGGATATGATTCTTTGGAAATAATATGAAATTGGGGATGGGTGGAGTTTTGATTCAATTCAACCTGGATCAATGTAAAGTAACCTAACCAGTTTAATGGGATGGCTCCAAAGATCGATTGCAGTTATTGGAGCTTAACGGTCTATTGCCTTGTTTGAGTTCAACAGAGAGTCTTTATCTTTCGCCAATGAACCATCTGTAATGACATTTAACAAGGTACTGCCTGATATCAGCCGACTGCAGAAAACCTGTGTCAGCTGTGTTGCATGTACAGAAAATGGGAAAATTCTGTCAAGAGTGACACCTAGAATTCTTGATTTAATGATGGTTGTAATCATGAATTCACCGATATTGTTGGGCCGATTTAAGGATATCTCTATTGTGCAGAAAGTAAAGAGGGTGTTGTAAGATTTTATTGGTGATATGTTCTATAACCAAAGTATGAGAATACGTGGGAAAGGCGTGCATTTATATTGTTAAATAATGAGTTCGGATCCTGACCCGACAGCTACCTTAAACATTTACTTTTTGTGATTTTAGTCTATTTGGCGTATTTGCCCTTTAATTTAAAAGGGATTTAGGACGTGTGCGAGTTAGGCTAAGTTGATGCTAAACCAAATGGGAGATTTTTTGGGATTTTTTGCACTGCACACATTTAGCAATTTATCAACACGTATCGACACATCACTACATTATCGGCACAACTTAGAATTTCCCTCATTTAGAACGCAACTTAGCCTAACTCGCACACGTCCTTAGGGATGAAGATTTATAGCACTTGGGTGGGTACGATATTTGATAGCAATATTTCCAAAATGTATAGAGAAGATAGAGAAATTTTCAATTGAATTTATTATTCAATAGACCAATCTTGGTAACTCTATAACTCGTTAAATTTGTGTGTAAAGGCGGCAAATTATCAAGTTATCGAATTATCGAGGTATCAAGTCTGCAAATTTGGTTATTAGAAAAAACAACAACGAATAATTGTAATTGTACAAAAATTAGCACAAATAATAAAAATTATGATAAACGTATAACGTTTAATTTTACATTTTTGTTCAACAACCAATTCAGATGACAAGTTAACTTAATTTTGATTATAATTTTAAACGTTCTTATTTTTATATTTTAAAAACTGTTGTTATTAGCGAGAACAACAGTTTTTAAAATATAAAAATAATATTGTTTCACATATTTATTGTGATATTATTTAATAATAAATAAAAATACCGAGAAATAGTTTATTTACTTAAGAATTATTTGCAAAATTACTATTGAAATATACTATTGTGAATTGTTCTATTGTGAATTAAGAAATAAATTTCAAAGGGATTTTTTATATATTATTTTACTATTAATCCATAATTTTGGTTGTAGGATTTTTTTAAGAAATCAGACTACAATTTTAATAGAAGTGTGTAATAGTGCGATTAAAATATAATTAGAGCATAATTGAGATAAGAATTTTCTTGTCGTGTGAATAGACTATGACACGAATTACAAAAAAAAATCCCTGATACAAAACTTCACCTATAACTTATTGGTGAAGGAATTAACTAAATGCTATAATATTTAAATCGTTTATTACTTTTCCGAATATTGTTGAGCTACTGAACTTGATCCGAATTTCTATGCTTTATGAAAATATAACAAATTATTTTATTCGAAAAGAGATCGCATGATGTCATGTTTGATGTTGTCTTGAACATAAACTAGTAGAGAGAAAAGGATAGCTGCTTGTATTGAAATGGACGGACAGACGGTTTTTTGTATTTTTATAAAATATTTTATAAATTATAAAATATTTATATACAAAATAATATTAAAAATTTATATAAATTTTCTCATTCCAATTTTATACTAAATCTAAATTAAATTTATTATTATGAAAATATATATGTATGAAAATGTAAAAATTTCATAATCAAAACAATTTTTCTGTTTCTGGAAGGTGGAAATTATCTCAAGCCGTAGTGTGAGACTTGAACCCACTCAAACCACATTTTAGAAATACAATATGGATTACTGTTATTGGACATTTAGGTTAAAAGCTAAAACGTCACAGTAAACAAGTGTAAGGCATACGTTAGAATACAGAATGTTTAGTATTTAGACAGTTAATATATCTAACGTCATTATCAATTGGTAAATCTGAGTAACTTTTTTAATCGAGATTCATTTTTAGTGTAATTTTAATTTTCGAGCAACAAATCTCGAGCGAAATGTATAATACTTGAGATTAATTTATAATACTCTAGATGTATTGCTAAATTAGTAAGTTTACTCTGAAATTAAGAGCTTCAAATTAAGACTTGACAAGTGACATATGTGACTTGATACGATATATGTATTTATAAAAATTAAAAGCATACTAATACAGCTAAAATATGTTAGATTACTTTTTAACTATTCGATTCGGCTATAAAATTTGAGAAGTCGAGAGTAAATCTAGATTGCATCCAGATTTATCAATCGAAAACGTCATAAGAGAAAACTGGAAACAAGTGAAGGGAGGAAGGAAGGACGGATGTTGTTACTAGGTAGTTACTGGGTAACATTTTTTTATAAAATATGTTTCGTAAATAGATATAAAAAAATTGTATTTTCGGTTATTTTACATATTTACTTAAAATAATTAATTTATTAATAAATTGTACTTGTCTATTGTGAATCGTTGGCGCGGTGTCACAATAGCGACTTCAAGCGTTTGACAGCTGTCAAAATTTAGGGAGCTGAACAAAAAGAGAAGCAAAAACTACGAATTTCTTTGTTTTCTAAAGTGATGTTATTTTATTACTCTAATTTGTACGGGGAAACGTGAATATTAGTTGAAAATTAAGCACTGCCGTAAGCGCAAATTTCAGTTATATTTTAAAAACAAAATAACAAATTTGTTTATAACACAAAGTAAATAAAAACATAATTAAAAATTCAAAACAGAGTAAACGGCCAATGCCACAACACAATAACAGAAATACGCAAGCAAATAATCAAAACAACAACAACGCCTTGTCATTGCTTTGCCATTAATACGAAAAATTCATTGAGGAAAAGCTGTGTTGTTATTGATAAAGCAAAGAAGCGATAAATAGGAAGTAAACAGTTGCATCGATAAAACATTTAAGTAATTTAAGAAAAATCTTTAATAGCAGTTAATAAAGAAAACATTTATGTCAGCACAAGTATAAATCGACCTTCAACATTATTGCCTTTATTGTTGCCTTGGTAGTTGCCCATTGGCAAGTGATATCTGGAGTTATTTGCATCAGTTTATTGTTAATACCCATCACATTGGCGGAAGTTACCTGGGCGCGTTGGCACCCTGAAGAACTTTATCGCTTAAGTCCTAGCATTTTCTACCTGCGTCTACACTGCATCGCAAAGATCGATCGCTTCATAGCATTGTACACCAATGTTTCACGCAAAATGGACAGTGTGTTTGAAACTTACTTAGGTCCAGATGGTATGCTTGCTGGTGTGGCGGGGGCGGTTAGTGAGCCAGATGATATACCGAAAACAAATTCAACAGTTTGGGTGCTTGGAAAACGCTACAATGCTATACATGGTGAGTGAAATATAATACATAATAGTAAATTTACAAATTATACAAATTTCTTTTTTTGTTTGCAATATAGAATTAGCGTTGATACGATCCGATATACAATCGCGTCTATGGTGCACTTATAGACGCGGGTTCGTGCCTTTAGGTGAGCCGCAGTTAACTACAGACAAAGGATGGGGGTGTATGCTGCGTTGCGGTCAAATGGTTTTGGCACAAGCGCTGATAGATTTGCATTTGGGACGAGACTGGTTTTGGACACCAGAAACACGTGACTCAACTTATTTGAAAATTGTAAATCGCTTCGAGGACTCACGTAAAAGCTACTTCTCAATTCATCAAATTGCGTTGATGGGTGATTCTGAAGATAAGAAAGTGGGACAGTGGTTTGGTCCTAATACTGTGGCGCAGGTTATAAAGTATGTCTAACTGTTTAATGTCATTATATATAATTGTGTAACTAAGATTTAATAATGTTGTTTTTTTTTTAGAAAACTTGTGCGTTATGATGATTGGTGTTCAATTGTTGTACATGTAGCGATGGACAATATAATAGTCACCGATGATATATGTAAGATTGTTCATATATTGAATATATTTAATATTTGATTTTTTTTACGTATCATTTAAGATTCACTTTGCCTTGAAAATCCTAAAAACGATGAAACCTGGAAGCCTCTTTTACTTGTAATACCTTTGCGTTTGGGTTTAAGTGATATCAATCCAATATATATACCAGCATTGAAACGCTGCTTTGAGCTAGTGGGAAGTTGTGGTATGATTGGTGGTAGACCAAATCAAGCACTATATTTTCTTGGGTACGTAGACGACGAAGTGCTCTACCTTGACCCTCACACGACACAACGATCTGGTTCTGTGGGGCAGAAAACTTCGCAGGACGAGTATGATTTTGATGACACTTTTCATCAAAAATATGCTGGACGTATAAATTTTCAACAAATGGATCCTTCTTTAGCTGTTGTATGTACTCGATAATACTATATGTGTTCATATTACATGTATTAATTATAAATGTTCATTTTCAGTGTTTCCTTTGTAAATCTCGTATAAGTTTTGAAATTTTATTAGAGAAATTGAAAAACGAAGTTCTAAGCGCTTGTACGCAACCACTGTTCGGAATAACAAAAACTCGTTCACCGGAATGGGTCTCGATGACAGGTATTGAGTCACAATTTTTAACTACTACTTCTCGTAATAATATCACAACACATACAACAACTCCGACCTCAATCGATGCTACAAATAGAAACACAACTTCAACACCAACGACAGAGGCAATAGCTAATATTTTATGCAAACGCACGATTAGTTGTTGCGATTCAGAAGGTTTCGTTTCTTTACTTAATATTTAATATTGTGTTTTTCAAAAAAATTTAATTCACTAACAAAATTTATGTTTATATAGTTCAAAACTTACTATAATTATTATTATTTTATATCTTTTTTTTATTTATTGTTTGATTTTTTTAAACAAAATTTTAATACAAAATATTCTTTTTGTTTTTGTTAACAGATTTCGAAAATGTGAATCACATACACACAACGGGGCTTTCTGGTAATTGCTGTGATGCAGATGCAGAGTCTGACGAAGACTTCGAAATAATATCATAGTTAAATCCTTAATACTTTTATTTACGAAACGGAAACTCGGCATATACTCAATACAAAAAAATCACTTTATATAGTTAGTTTTCAAATGGTTTATATAAAAATTTTAATTATACCACGTTTTTAAGTATCTACGATTAATTGATTAATATTTACTTTTACGTGTCGTTGTCGTAACCCGAATAGACCCACTGGTATTATCCCTCTTGGGAGCGGTGAGATCAGCTTCAAAACGTAGACTCGACCGCGCACAGAAAATAAAATATTAATTTAGCTCTTATTGCTTTTAATTTTTTTTTTCTTAATTTTTGTTTTAACTTTTTTTTTTTCTAAATTTTTGTTTAAATTTTATTTTTCTTAATTTTTGTTTTAATTTTTATTTCTAAATATTTGTTTTAATTTTTTTTCTTCATTTTTGTTTTATTTTTTTTCTCTAAATTTTTGTTTTAATTTTTTTTTTCTTAATTTTTGTTCAAATTTTTTTTCTTGATTTTTATTTTAATTTTTATTTCTTAATTTTTCTGTTATTCTTAATTTTAGTTTGAATTATTTTTCTTTGTATATAATATTTCTTTTTGTTTTTATTTTCATTTTTAATTTTATCTGTTATTTTTTAATTTTTATTTTGGTTTTTCATTTTGTTTTTTGTTTTTAATTTTTTTTTATTTTGTAATTTCTTTTTTTTTTTAATTTTAATTTTTTTTTGATTTAATTTTTTTTAAAATTTTTTATTTGTGTTATTTTTGTAATTTTTATTTAATTTTAATTTTTATTTTAATTTATATTTTATTTTAATTTTTATTTATTTTTTTTTTTAATTTTTTTTAATTTTTTTTATTTATTTTAATTTTTTTTTATTTTTATTAATTTTTTTTTAATTTTTTTTTATTTTATTTTAATTTTTATTTTATTTTAATTTTTATTTTATTTTAATTTTTATTTTATTTTAATTTTTATTTTATTTTAATTTTTATTTTATTTTATTTTTATTTTATTTTATTTTATTTTTTTTTATTTTTATTTTTTTTAATTTTTTTTAATTTTTTTTTATTTTTATTTAATTTTTTTTTTAATTTTTTTTTTAATTTTTATTTTATTTTTTTTTTAATTTTTATTTTATTTTATTACTTTTGTTGTTGTAAATAGTGGGGAATCTGCTTGTTAAATTATTTAGCGGTGTAGCGAACGGCACTTGGCCATCGAGTTAGACTAGTGGCTCTGGGATGCAGATCGGGTCATTTTTGGAACGGAATATATAATGTCTTTTATATTTTTATTCATTTATTTGTATTTGTTTTTAATTTTTATTATAATTTGAATTTTTTAATTTTTATTTCTATTGCAATATCTTTTTTTCGTGGAATATTTAAAACCAAATTTTTTTTTATCATTTAAGAGTTTATTACAAAGTACAACAGGCTCGAATATTGTATTTTTATCATAAGATGAAAATTTCGCACATTTTTAGAGCCATATTTGAAGATGGATAAATTGGTACCCCATTGTATGTCCCTTTTAATGCGTTTGCCTATATCGTCGTATGAATGTCTATTGTACTGTAAAACTCACAAACTGAAATATTTTTTGGAATGTTGTTATAAACAATAATAATATTAAATTGTCAAAGTTATAAACATAATTGACTAGCAACATTTAAGTTTTAAATTAATAACTACATTTGACAATATATATTAAAATTTTGCTTTGTGTATTTAAATACTATGTGTACTATTTATTTATTTACAATCGCCTTGTGTAAAAAGTATAAAATTAATTATTAATAATTAATTTTGTCTTTAAAAATGTATTAGATTTTATGTTAATATTGAGTATATGCCAAATAGTTAAATATTCGCAATATAAGTTAGATTTAAATTCGGCTTGCGATGAAATATTTCCTTATGTTCTAAATTTTCTAAAATGATTCATTTAATTTTTTTTTAGATTTTTTTTATTTAAATATTGATTTTTTTTTGTGTTTATTATATAGCAAGTCTTAGTTCATATATTTTTATTAACTATTATAATATTTTTTCTAATGTTTGTATACAGTATAAAAATATGAAAGCCTTAAGTTTTGAAACAATAAGATGTTTACCAAAATGATTTTTTATATATTACACAATTGTTTTTAAGATCTTTAAGAATTGTTAAATATACATTTTGTTTCCATTTACACTTTTCGTAGTGTATGTATAATTTCTTGAAGACTTTGTAATATACATAAATGCATATAAGAAAGCATATGTCGAAATAATATAAATTAGCATAATATACATAAATAAATTTTAAAAACGAACAGTGGTGTTACTTTTAATTCTTTAACTAATAGCTTATATTTAATTTGTTTAAAAAAATTATAAGACATTTCAGTCATTGTGTAAAACAATAATTTTAATTTGATTATATAGCATTAATATGCTATTAATATTGTTAGTCGTTTAAAGGACATCAGATTGAAATTTTTTGTGAAATGTTTAATATAACACAGAAAGTGATTAAATACATTAACAGAAATATATTTTTATTTATAAAATTATAATTAAAATATATTGAATTCATTACTTCCATACAAATTTAACTAAGGTTATGTTATATCGATGAATCTAAGGAATCACTTAGATCTATTGGCCCATTGTGTTATTGTGTAAAAAATTCAGAAGATTAAAAACCATCATGAACTTTTGGCAAATCCAAAAATGTTCTTTAAAGGAAGGATCTGAAATTGCCTTCCATTTGCAACATGATACGTTGCAAAATGGCGAACTAAACACGAATATTCACGTATTCATTAACACTGAGTACTCGTACGGATATCAAATGGAGCTACGAATACCTACAAGACGTAGAAACCGAGCTCAGAAAATATGGAAGTTGCGATTTTTAGGGTATGCCCATTTTACAACGCTCTGCTTGCGGTTTAACAGTCAGTTAAATGGAAAAGCCGTTTAACTATGCTCTACGTCGTTATAGCTCACTTCTGGAAATATTATGGTTAAAAGTTGTACACTTTTTACATTGATTTTGATGAAAACTGTATAAGTCGTCAAATGTCAATTAGTATATGTAATTTTTGATTCGATTGTTCGAATGATTGGTAACAACAATAGTTTCTACGCATATATCTGAAACACTAAGCTATATTGATATATAGCGTAGTAGAAAAAGTTGTTGAGAATAGTTAATTTTGATGAAATCTGTTGTAAAATCGGAGTGCCCAGAAATTTGGAATCTTGCCGGTAACACTAATTTAAGTGGATTGTTCATACGATATACAAACTGAACAATGACATAGTCCAGCAAACTTTCAAAGAGAACCATCAAGGAAGTCGAACTAAAATTATCAAGAAGTATCATTCAAGATTTGGGGGAGTATAGACAGTGGAGAATTCGTCACCTCATGTTATACATACAATAATATATAACATATATAACAACATATATATCAGAAGAGTAGTAATTCAGAAATGTTAAAAACGAGACATGTGAGTACATCGCTCTATCAGAGACTTTTTTCTTTATCAAATTATTTTAAATTTTGACACAGTTTAAAATATTTAAGTTAAAATATTAACACTAAAATATACTATTAACTGAAAGATTTATAGTCAAAATAAGTTCAACATTCGTTGCGACTCAGGTTTTTGTGATTTCTTCAGGTACTAATTACTTTCTGTGCCACATTTGTTGTTTTTGTAATCGTTTTAAGGTGTTTAGAAGTAATATTTGTTATTATATTCATTCTATCCATATTCCAAGCTATGTCTAATTGAATATACCACAAATCATACCTTATTTTGCATATCTGTAACATACCAACAACGCATATCTATATCATGTATTTTGATAGGTTAGGTCAACCTATCAGATCCAGGTTTTCATGAATTTTTTAGCTACTAAGCGTTGTTTGTCACACTTGCTTGTTCCGTTTTTAACTTGAGTTCATAGGTAGGTCAGTTATCTGGTAGTCATAGAAACTTTTTTATATGTTATGTATTCAATTTGCCAACATTTTCAAAGATATTATAGCAATACTATAATCTTGAGCTGAATTACTTTAAGTGGCATTGCACAGTATATATAGAAATATCTAGGTATATATTTCACTTAGCAGTTGGCATTATATAAATTATATTTCCATTGAAATAAAGATTATTAAGTTCAAAGTATCTAAAGATATACGAAGAGTGCAGGCAATTTCTTTTTAAGCATTGAGTATTACAAGCATTGAGTTCTAGTGCTCCACTTGATCGGGATATATGTTATATCGTTACAGCTCTTTGTTATGGTTAATTAAGTCGAAAAGATATTTTTTGATTGAAACATTATCTTTAGCTGAAAATATATACAATATACCACGATTTACAGAAAAAGTCAGTGAAATTATGTGTTACCATATAAAAGTAGAGAGATTTTAAACCTTAGAATATCCAGAACTAACTGCAAGGGTTGAGGAGTCACAAAGCAGAAGTATTTATTTTATTAATATTATATATTCGAATATTGATAAGAAATTGATACCTTTTAAATGAAGCCAAATATAAATACAATGGGTTACTTAGCTTTCTGATTTTTAGCTGATAAGTCTGAAAATATTGCTTTAATGTTGTCATTAAAATTGTCGACAGGCATTGTCTTATGTCGACAGGCAAATATTCTTTATTATTACATTGTCTATTTAATAAGATAAAAATATCTGAAAACACCTTCCGATGATAATGTCTGGTAACGGATCTGTCTGTGCGTGATATTTTATTGGTTTATCAATCGTATTGATTTAATTTTTCTTGATTGATTTAATTAAATACGGAAGTTCGAGTAGTTTGGTTTCTAATATATATACATAGAACACATATATATGTAGAAGGAGATAGAGAAAGAGACTGGGGCAGGAAGAGAAGTTGAGTTTTTAGTACTAATATATATTATGCGGCAGTAAGTAATACAAAAATAAATAATGAAGTCCGTGTAGTTTGCTTTGTTATGTATATACACATAGAATACATATATATGTAGAAGGAGATAGAGAAAGAGAACTGGAGTTTTAACTGGAGTACTTACAAAGGTTTTTTTTAAAACACAAAAATACATAAAAAACTTGAGTAACTTACAACGTATAATTAATAAATAATAAATTAATAAATTTTGGAAACTTCTGTTATTTGTTATTTTTTGTTTCACATAATTTATAAATTTGATTAATTTTGATTTCAATAATGATTTTAATATAGCGAAAAGCAATCGATTGGGTCAACACGTTTTTCATTGTTGGCATGGAATTTATTGAAAAAAAAAAACAATAAGAAAGGAAAAAATTTGTAACAAGACTGCGCCACCAGTCTTAGCCAGGCACTCCCTAAACTTATATATTATGTAGAATTATTCTCACTTTCGTTTTTTAATATTTATAATGTTCTCCGACTTGAATGGATTTGGATTTAATTGAAGTAATTGTTAAGCTTTTTTAAATACTGAAAAACCATAAATTTTTTTTCTTCAGATTTTTAAACGTGTTAAGTACTAAATCCTAATCATTTACGGGCTTAGATGTATTTATATATATATATGTATATGTTATATGAAAACATATATATTTATATATTTTTGTATGTTAATATATTGTATCCACATTTCTCTTAAAGCACCATAGAAAAAAAAAATAATAGATGAGAATGATTGATAAGATTCTGCCAGTGGCGTATTATGGGTATGTGGTGAAGGGGATGCATGAATGCTGGTTATGATGTTAACATAATAATTGGAAAACTTAAATATCATGATAAAAGTGATGTATACTATCACATAGGTGTCTTAAGAAACTTCTACCACCCATTGAGTTCTACGTTAGAGTCAACTTTACTGAAGTATTAGAAGGGGCTATATCTATATTTACACATATAGTCAAGAAATAATCAAGGAATTGGCTTTTTGGATTTGGGGGGTTGACCATTTCTCAACCTTCCACGATGGACGATGTGCTATTTTGTAATGTTTCATATTTCATAATAAAAATAATCAAATGATCTTTCGATAGTTATTTATAGAACTTCATGGTGCTAATGTGCCATATGGGGGGTTGGGTACTTTTTAAAAGTGTGAACGTAGTGATATTTTATATCACTTGGATCGTCTCATATATCAAATTTCATAATAAGACGCTCCATTGAGATATGGAGGCATGACTACTTCCTTAAAATTTAATGGAACTGATATGTTGTATTTCGTAATGGAAAGACGTTCAATTGGATGACATTTTGAAAGGGACAATCCTTTCTAAATGTGATATATGGAGCTGATAGGCTTTGTATTTGTAGAGAGTTGCTGCACCAGTAATTAAATTAAAATAGATTGGCAATAGGATAACCTTCTTTTAGCAATGAGATAAGAATGGATATTAATTATTTGAATATAATTATCTTTTTCTTTCTCGTCAAACAAATTTCTTCAAATGTGGTGCCTACTAGTCTTTGTTGACATACCCACTAAGCTGAAAAGAATTCTCTTCACTGAAAAAAAATTGAGTGTTGTTTGAAAAGCCCAGCAATGTATGTTCTAAGCATTGCTTGATCCATTTTGAAAAGCGGAAAGTTTTAAGGCAAACATATGCTCGACATGTATCTTGGAAACTGTGATGTTACGAATTGGGCAATGTTG